TAAGGGTCGCTGTCCGGGAAATCGAAGAACTCCCCACACAACACCCAACACGGGCATCCAAGTATTTCCACAGCAGTACCCCACCGTGAACCAGAAGCCGGGGACAGAGCAGGTAAGGGTCGCCCACCTATCTCAATTCCACTGCGTTCGTGGCTCAAGCCCAACATCGCAGGAATACCACCCGCACCCATCTCGCTCGAGCATCGAACTGAGCAGCAGCAACAGAATAACGTAGGGTTGCCCACCTATAAAATCGGACTTCCAATAATTTAAAGAGCTTGAACAGTTGTCAAAATAAAAATATTATCGAAAATGGAACGTCCTTTTACAAAAGCGCCCTGTTCCCAACCTATCAAGTGCGGAAGGAGGTCTGCCAATCGGAGAGCCAGTGCTTTTGCTAGGATTTTATATGTCACATTCAGTACAGAGATAGGCCTGTAATTCTTAACTTCTGTTTTGTCACCTTTCCTTTACAGTAGAGAGATTATCCCCTTTGCGAAACCCTTAAGGAGAATCCCAGTCCGAAAGATCTGATTGTACATATCACATAGGAAGGAAGCGAAGGCTGTCCAGCAGCTTTGGAAAAGTTCCACTAGAAGTCCGTCGATACCGGGGCACTTACCTTTTGCCATCCTATTTATAGCATTAGTCAGTTCCGGGATGGTAAAGGGTTGGTCTAGGGACTCACCGGCTGATGGAGAGATCTTCACTGTCATACCGTCCCAGTACTCTGAGACTTCAGACAAATCTGAGTCAAACGAGTCAAATGGTCGACTGGTGGTAAGTATGTCCCGAAAGTAGTCAAGGGCATAACTGCACATTGTCGCAGTGTCTGATGTCTTTAGTGCGCCTATTGCAAAAGGGTGAGCCAGTTCTATCACTAGGGGTTTAGACTGACAGTGAGGAATAGGGACCTAAACGTGATTTTTGTCATTCGGTCATAACCCACGAGTAGATGTGATGTTTTCAGTTCAGTTGGAATTTCAGGTATTTTGTCATTTGTCCGAGTCAATGTTGATGTTTTGAGTTCAGTCTACCCCCCTCATCCTACCCCACTTCCTTTCTGACCCAGAACACGCCCTACCCCGGTAGGAACCACCGCAATAGCTGGCGCAGTGGAAGCGTGGTGGAGTGTAGAGGTCGGGGAACGAGGAATGCAGCTGCAGTGGGACTGGCGGTTCCCCCGTGGTGCTGGGGAGGGAAGCCTGCATGAGCGGATTTTTCAAGCACCATTGGGGGAGTGCCACGTGGACAGAGATTCGGCTTGTAGATTGCCTTCGAGTTGCATGTAGATGCAGTAGGAAATAGACAGGGCGGTCACACCGCATCTTGGGCTACTAAATTGTTCCCGTTTTGATGATTGCAGGCGGAAGAAGGGCTTTCTTTAATGATGATTGCAGGCTGAAGAAGGGCTTTCTTTAGTGATGAGTGGAGGTGGAAGAAGGGCTTTCTTTAATGATGATTGCAGGCGGAAGAAGGGCTTTCGTTAGTGATGATTGGGGGCGGAAGAAGGGCTCTCTTTATCGAGAGACTTCGGTGTATTGATGTTTGCTCCTAGTAACTGGTGTGCACTTCGCTGTGGTGTTCTGCTTTCAGCTCGGCTCAATCATGCTTGGTCTTCGGTGAGATTGACATTCTGGTTTGTTGGTGTTCTCCCTCAGTGCATGGTTCCTTGCACCGTGCTTTTAAAAAAGCAAGAAAAGGACTAAAGGGCCGGCGCCGCTGGTGATATGTTCATGTTGTGAAAGCATGTCATTGAGTCCGTAGCTACTGGTGCCAGGTGTATCATTCCTGGCATGAACACAGCACCACTCGGGGCCGCCATGCAGTCGCTAAGCATGCCGCGTGGTGCTCTAACGAAGGCGGGCGCCCTAGCAGCACATCAACGTGGGCTGGAGGTCGGTTGATGTCCCTTTGACGGCCTGCCGGTAGTGACCTTCGCATCTTTCACCTACGTTGTCCACCTTCCACTCTCGTCGAGTTCTTCATGCTTGTCAGCAAGCACCGCCCAGGACAACCAACTGAGCTCCCTCTGTGTGTGTGTGTGTGTGTGTGTGTGTGTGTGTGTGTGAGAGAGAGAGAGAGAGAGAGAGAGAGAGAGAGAGAGAGAGAGAGAGGG